CAASGCGTGCTGATTTAGATGAATGTGTGGCCGGTTTCTTCACTTGCACTGGAGTTTATTCCAGTTAGATCGTATGAAATGAATTTGTTCCCAAATGGAATCCAATTTGGATCCTTAGCGGATGGACTCCAGTCATAAAATGCAGCAAAGTTTCAATGGCGCAAGTATCTGATGTCGAAATTAATCAAAAGAAATTCCTGGGTTCCAGTCAATTTGATTGTTTACCATTTAAAATATTACAAAAACGTTTCGGTGCTTTTCTCCACCATCATCAGTTTGTATGTATGGTTGTTTCTACCTTCACATTTGGAGTAAATAATCATCTGTAGAGTACAAGTCACACAAGTAGGCAAATATACTAAAAAAAGTTAGACTTCTGTTGAAACTAATGAAACACCCTGTATATTTTGATATTATTTATAAGTCCTACTCTTCTTGAATTCCACGATATTTTATTAGTTATTAGWTTTGTTTTTTTTTTCTCTTTAAAATTCGAAGATCTAGATTAGGCCTGGGGAACACTGTGTTGAGTTGCGCTATTGAGTTGTTGCCGCTCTTTGAGTAAACGAGTTATAACTCATCGGTTAATGAGATAATTGATTTTTTAAAATTTTTCGAGACCCTTGACTGGAAATTTCACATCTAAAAAAGATTATCAACATTTTTTTTCAGGAACGTTTTACTACTTTGTTCACAAACACGTTTTTGTAATATTTTAAATGGTAAACAATAAAATTGACTGGAACACAGGAATTTCTTTTGAATTAAGTTGAAATACAGTCAGGAAAATATACACAAAGTCGAAATTATTAGAAGACTAAGACTCCTTTATATAATGTATTTGTTGTGTCGTGCCCGAAATCAAAAAAACCTTCCAAACTCTGTGCTTTTCAGATCGGTAGTAGAAGACGTGAGAAAATTGTGCCTTTTTAAAAACAACAAACATTTTGATGCAAAGTGCCCAAAAAAAATTGAATAAATGGCAACATTCCTGAAAACAATGCACTCATGATGGTCACTCCAAAAATGCAAAATTGGGCTCTTTAAAACTGAAAATATATAACATCGTCGAACGTGCATAAAGTGAACCCTCCTTGTCGAGCTTTTAAATAGCTTCTAGTCAGGGGCGGATCCAGCTTTAAATTCAGGGTT